GCCACTTAGAACTGGGGCTTACCTGGTGCTTTCTGTCATTTTAACCATGCCATTCTATCTTCTCAATTAAGAGAGGATGATTCTAATGCCATCATAAATGCTTCTGGGATTCTAACTATTCTTACTCATTTTCCTCACAGAGATTATAAATAAGCAACTTAAAAAAACCAGCACATTTCTCAAAATTCTGCCCAAAATGATAAACACACAGTAATCTTACCACTTCTGTGACAGGAAGATGTAAAATATAATGTGACCTAAACTCCACTTGTGGAAATTATCTTTCTGTCCTTTCCTCATTTCCACAATAAAGGTGTCAGCATCTCAGGCATTCTTTTTCTCCCCAGTGCTAATTGCCAGTAGCCTTGAAAACACAGGTCTTCTTAATTTCCGGTGAAAGAAAGCTCATCAAGATTTCACCTTTTACATCATAAATCTATTGATGCAAACATCATTTCCAACAAGGAGCCCTATAAGATCACAACAGCAGAGTGTGTTGCTAGTGACCGAAAAATTAACTTCTAACCTTTGAAAATTCTGTAATTCTAATTGGTTATTTAATAACTTGTTACCCTGGCAATATTTGTGGTGGCATCTGCTTGCTAAAGAGCACAAGTTCCTATAAGTTTTCTTTATTAAACTGCTTGCTTCTCTCTTTTCCCACATTCATGGAGGTAAAATAAAACCTATGGCTCTTGAATTTTTATTGATTGATTCTTGGAACATTTTACTTAAATCTGAGAGTCTTTGTCTCACTTGAGCTAATCAGAGGAAAATTATTCTTTCGCTAGCTATGTATGACACAATGACAAATTGTCATTCATAATCTAATATTAAATATTAAGCCAAGGCATAACATTTCATATTTTCTGAGTGTCATACAAATAAAGCAGTCTATAAAAAAAAAAAAATCAACACTGAACTCCAAGTTCAGTCCTACTCCAAGGTCTGCCTGCTGACTGGCTGTATTATCTTGTGGAAGTAATGTCCCTTTGCCAAACCGTACTCTGTTTTAAAAAAAAAAAAAAAAAACAGGTTATCTGCAATATTATTTGCCTTTTCAATGTAAGCTTAAAAACAGAGCTTGGCACTGGCATCACTGCTGAGTTTTCAGTGCATTTTTGTGCAAAATTTTCCAGTTCTTTTACCCTAAGTGGGTGGTTTTCCTCCGATTCTTCTTTCAAATAATCTCATCTGGTCTCATGCCTTTGAGATCTTTTTGAAAAACTTTTTTTTTTTTAATTTGCTGGGAATGTAAACTTAAAAAAAAAAACAATTGTGCACTGTAGTTTACATTTCAAAGACAGCGTGTCTTCATTTCCTTCAGCTTCAAGTATAGATGAAGATTCTAATTCAAGGTCACCTATCAGTTTCAGCACCATTACGTTCATAATCTGTTTGTTCTGAGACTCTGGAATAGAGTAAAATTTACTCTTGGAAACAAATCAATCAACCCGATAATTTGCAAAAGACCCGTTGGGGGAAAAAAAATCTGTAAAACAATCAGGGAACTCTGAAAACTGTTTGGATAGTTGACATTAAGGAAAAGTGTTACTTTTGGAGGGTGATAGTAGTATCCTATTTATGGTGTACAAAAGAGTCCTTGCCATCTTGGGCAAGTTTCTTAACCTCTCGGTGCCTGTGTTTTCACCTACAAAGTGACAATACCGTCATAGGTATTCTAGCAATATCTACACCTCATAGGACTGTCACAGAAATCAACTGAGATTTTCAAGGAGAACTTTAACCTAGTGCCCAGCACACAGCAGGCGCTCAACGAATGCAGGCTGGGGATTAGTGGGAGCTTCTCTTTGAGAAGGCTGAGCCAGTCTTAAAGTGGTAAGAACCTCAGCAGTTGTCTAATCACACTACCTCACCAGCACAGGAATCACCTTTCTTACTAAAAGGAAGTGAGAAAACTCTGAGAGAAAGCACCAACTCAGACAGATATTTAACTGTACAAGTTAACATTCTGGATGCGTTTATATAATTCATTCAAGGTTGTTCAGTCAGTCAGTCAACAAGTGCATTTCCTAAGTGCCAACACTATGTGGGTATCATTCAAGACACCAAGGAGGAAAATTGAACTCCTAGCCTGTAGAGTTCACCAAGATAAGAAGAAAAGATTGGCAAGATCTGAAAATCCTGGGGCTACGAAGAGATTGGCAGGAAGAAGCATAGGGGCTAACACATGACAAAATCCTAAAACTATATGTTGCAGGCACAAGGAACTTCAGAGTTAGAATTATCAAACCAAGCTTCTCTGACATGGAGGAAAACCTTCAACAATGAGTAAGGTATGAAAGACAAAGAAGATGTGAGAAATGTTGGAAAAGAGCAAGAAGGGAAAAGACATTGTATAAAATCCCTATTAAAAAAAAAATCTAGGAATGGTCACCCTGGAGTATTTCGGACTGCAGGAAAAGGAGGAAGACAGTCTTACCCAGTTCGTCGGTGATGAGGTGCTTCCCTTGAATGGAGTTCCGGCACTGGTTGCTAGGCCGACTGCTATTGCCCAAGTTAAATTGCACTTTCCACAGAATGGGCTGATCATGGTCTTGAACTTGGAGGAGATTCCGATCTCTCACTGCCCTCTCCTCCTACAAAAAGACCATTAATGATAAGGTTAAAGTACCATTTCTTGCGTTTTCACCAATTTTTCATAGAAACTACAGCGACAGGATAGAAACAATACCAAAAAAAAACTTGTACAAGAATCTGCACTCCCCTGGTATAAGCAAAGTCTGAGCCAAAGTCATAAAATAAAATGTAAAAAAAAAAA